TATAAAGGATTGATTGCGCATATATAATCCTTTAGACATAAACCGTTGACCAAGACTGGGACTAGGATTGGATCCAGCCACACCTAAACTCCTCTCTGAGAAGTTTAGAAAGCAAGGGGGTCCTTTCTGAACCTCATGACTCAACGGGAGGGTCTCCCTGACAGTAATGTCTGACCCTGTCCTCTATGCAGTAAATAATCAAGTGTACCTTGCCATCGAATCTTGTTCACTGTCGCATTTTCCATTGAACTTTGTTAATTCACGCTTTAACTCACTGTTTTCTATAAATAAAGTATTGTTGCTTCTCTTACGAGTGAAGTGCAGTCTCACTCCATCCGCAACACTGCAATAACCAGCAATGAGAGGTAATTTGCTCTTTCTTAACACTCACAGCCAGTAATTGCAGCTGCTTCTCACTTCCTTGCTTCTGAAGGACTCAGCTGCTCTCTGAGAACTTTGAGAAACATTGGTCTTAATGAATAGAAAAATTGAGAATGAGAGGGCTGTGAGATACAGCAAGAAAGGTAACCAAGGAAAAGCAAGCTCTCCCATTTTATTTTGCAGCCTTGCTTACACTCAACATTATAATCTTTGCTCCTGTACTTCCAAATATGCATTTTGCACATGTTCACTGAGGTGTAACTTGCTCTGCCATTCAGATTTGCTCTAAATTGGCCTTCGTACACAAAGAATGCTTCTTGCGTAACCTTAGCACTATCTCTCAACCAGTGACTTCTGCACCAATGAAAATACTCAAGCAATTGCTCTGTAGCTGTCAAATGTATTCCCAAGAGAATCCACTCCCCAAGAGAGAAAGATGACGATTTTCAGTGACATTTTGTGCTAAGCACTGAACAGTCACTGAAAAGGAAGCCTGCTCACCCCTTTCCTTAGCCCTTACCCTTCCATTGCTGTCCTTCAAGTCGTCATCACTCAGAAGGCAAGGGCTCATGATATGATCTATCTCCTCGGCCTGGCTGAGTGGGAGGCCTGTTAATGGTGGCACAGGTTCACATAAATGTCCAGCAGACTTCACGCCACCACCAACATGATGCTGGAGAACTGGCAAGACGGGTTCCAGAGTCTGGAGCTCTGATAAGACATGGATATAGATTGTGTATGAGAACAGCAAGGAACATATCACCTCTCCAAACAGATGGGGTGCTACCATATTACACTGGCAGCAGAAATTACATTAGTCTGTTGACCATCAGACTCAAACCTACTGCATGATAAAGGCCTTAGCCCTTGGCTTCTAGTGAGCAGCTGTGTTTGATAGAGAAGAGCAGAGAGATGGAGATTGCCCTTGCCAAAAAGATTCTTATCTGTTCCTATCCATTTTGATTCTAGTAACCATCCTCTTTTTCCCAGTAACTAGAAGAACTGGTTTTTAATAGCTATATGCCTTCGTAGAGGTAAGCATCAACATTTCCTCCTCTTTGCTGGAATATTTTAGAGGGCATTTAAAGAAAAGCTTAGGATTGCTAGAGTGATACCAAAACCAGAATTGTGTTCTTGAAGTTAGAGAATTCATTTTCCCCGAAGGAGTTTCATTCTAAATTGTAACAGATCAGCCCACTTTCTGGGCAGCCTGACTAAAGGCTGATTTTCTTGATGGGAATACCATGGTGCAGCTCATTCTGAAATACTCTCCAACAGAGCTGTTAAAACTCAGAGCACTAATCATTCCTTACATGGCTTCACAGATTATAAAATCATGTGATAGCCAAGCAGTAAAAAAGGAATAACTTTCTTAAACCTGGATTTTTTTTCCCTGTGGAATGGTCAGGTCAATAATAAAAGAGAGAGAGATGGTTTAACGATATAGCTCATTTCTAGCCCAGAATGTGTCCAGCAAAAACGTCACCTTACTTAGCAATACTTCTCCCCAGTTGCATTCAGCATCCTAGCTGCATATCAGCAGTAAAGCAATCATTCCTATGGGGCATGCCCATAATTTGGCAGAACTAACACTGAGCTGAGGGACCAGTGGATCTTATCCCTTTTTCTGCATCAGCAAAATTATTTGTTAAATTCTCATCTCTCCTATCGCTACAAACCCACAGATGGCAAAGGGACAGCAATGGTGTCATTGAGGTTTTCAACTTAAAAGTATTGGCTGACACAGATGCACCAGGCACTGCATTTTGTCTTGCAGAACTCTTATTGCTAGTGATAATGCAAGGCAGAGAGGGGGGAGAAGCCAGTAGGCATCTCCTACCCCAGCCTCAGTTTGCAATACTGACATATGCAGATAGAGTAGGGGAAGAGATTTGTAATCATAAACGTAGCATATGTGGTTTGAGGTAAATGAGTTGCAAAAAGGGAACCTCAGTTCATTACTCAGCATTTAATTTAGGCTTGTGCTTTAAGAGGATGGAAAGCTCAGATCCTGCATAAGCTGGATCCTTTTTTAAGTCTTTTTCTCTGTAAATAGAAAATTCACAAGGACTTCCTATCACACAAGGTTTCGCTATTTCTCCCAGTGCAAAAATAGGCAACGTTGAATCTACTTCAGATCTCAAAGGGTTCGATTCAGAAACTGCTCCAAGGGAAGGTTTTCTCCTTCAAGTGTAGGAGGAAGGAGTGGGAACTTTTCTCATTTCATGCGAAATGCCCCATTTTTCTCTAATCTTTGTGACATTACAGAGCATGCAGGGAGATAAAAGGTATGAGCATGAGGTAGAAGAACTTTTTCTTTTCCTGCTGTGGATTTCCCAGGCCCCACGGTACCCCTCCAGCTCCTGCCATTCATAACCCCATGCTGGAGTCATTTTCACGGGATCACCAGAGCACACTTCCCAGTGACTGAGCTCTGGGGGTGCTGTCTGAGCACATCAAGGAATTGAAAAAATGTTACAGGATGGTTTTCAACTGAACTTTCACAGTGCCACCCATGGGTCAGGATTCCTATGGTCATTTTAGGACAGCCATGCCCTGTACCTACCTAGATGTTTAAGGGTCTTCTCTTTACTTCTGCTGCCTGATCTTGGCCTTAAGAAAATTGAGGATAAAAGAATATATGAGGAGTTAGAAAGAGAAGGGGGGGTTAGCATTAAAGGAGGCAAACTTTCTTAGCATGGTCATTCTGATGAAGGAGGAAACGCAGCCCATAAAACCAAGAATATGCAAAGCTGATTAATTGCCATTAAACTTTCAGTTGCTGCCGTCACACGGAGCTCATCAAGCTCCAGCTGAAACACAGGAGTCATTCTTCAGTTTGGGCCTTAACTATCCAATTCTGCTGTCTCTCATTTTGGAGCTAAGTGGCTCTCACTGTTACAGACATCCTTTCTGAATCAGCAAGAGATGTTAAGCCAGTCATAAGTCTGTATTGAGGGCAGCTACCTTTATACTGCTGCAGAAGCCTAACTTTGCGTGGTCATGACTTCAACTGATGACAGTGTCTTGTTACACATGGCAATACCACTGCTGTCTCCTGAGAATATTACACCTCCCTGCTTTTTCAAGAAGAAAAAGGGTTTTTCCAACTCAACTGGTAGGTAAATATATTCAGATTGCACTTTAAAAGCCATGCTGAAGCTTTTAAATTGGGACTATATTTCTATGACTCCTTATTTATTGTTATAACTATGGTAAGGTTGACAGCTAGAGTTCTCCACGCGTATCCAAGCAAATATCTTTCCATCAGTTACAGTCCTATAATTGTTCTCTAGCACCTTGCCCCCTTTGATCTTAAAACCATATGTAAATATTAAACATCTATAGGATTATACATCTATAAACTGAGATTTATCTGGACTCTCATTTCACAGTGAAGGCCCAGACACAAAGAAGTTACAACTGACATTTACAGAAGCAGCATCTGAATTTGCAGACAGCTCTACAATAGCCAGTATTTGCCCTAACATATTCTTGCAGGTACAGAAATTGGCAGTCAAAGATCACACACAAAACCAGATGCTGTGTTCAGATCCATGCAACACAGTTCCCAAATGGCACCACAAAGATTACAGAATGAATTGGTATCAGAGTCCAGCAGAGGACCTGCTTTTAAGGTCCTCTTAAGTCCTGCCTCCTCCTCCTCCCCCCGCCATCCCTGCTCTTAGAGTGTATGATGCTAGTTTTGCCATTGTGCTGGAACATCATAGATATGCAAAATGGTGAATGCACAGAAGTTTGCACAAATATATTGGAGAGCTGACTGTGGAAAGTAACCTCATGAGACGAGAAGTGCAAGGTGAACTACATATTGGAGAAGCAGACACCTTAGCTTACCTCATCTCCACGGCCTTTTGGAAAACCAGGTGCTGAGAGCTTGGGAGAGGCACTGCAGCACTGCCAGGATCCTCATCAGATGGTGTCGCTGACTTGGGGATAGGAGGAATCAAAGCCATTCCCAGTGACTTCTTCTTCCCATCCCCACCACTGCAATACCAGGGCAGCAGGGAAGCCTGGAAATAGTAGAATGCTGTGCTCAGCTCAAGCATCCAGCCTTCTCCCTTTGATGCCACAAGAAGTTTAGCCATGCTCTTAGCTAGGACTTGGCAGGAAAAGAAAAGTCAAACTGATGGAGCAGCTTGGCCTAAGATGGGCAATGGAAAGGGAAATGGTGAGTGAGAGACCATGTCGCACGCTGTTGCCAGCTCTCTCCCCTTGCTCACCTCTCTGGCAGTGGCTGCATTCCCACCTGGCATCCATCTGCTTGGCATAATGATGTTCTGGGATGCCGTTGCCTCTATTAGCCTTTCTGGTGTTACGGGAATGGGTTTAGACCACTATCGTCTCCCTGTCCCTAAAGCACCTACCAGCCATTGCTGAACTCCATCCAAGTCCCCACAAAGCCATTTTGCACACTGACAAAACCTGCTTTTCTCAAGCCCATAATTTTTTCTGCTTCGCCCTTCCTACAGTCTCCCACCAGCCTTTTGGCCCAGATGCTAATGTGTTCTCTGGATGCTCAGTGCTCTCCAGCTCCCACACAATTCATCATCTCAGGCTCACTGTCATTTATTAAGTTCAGCAAAGCTCCCTACCCTGCTGCTCTGTGTAAGGTCTCTCTGCCTGCTGAAACTACTTCAGACTCCCCATGCCATGGCTAGGAAGGAGGATGGAGGGAGCAGGGGCAGACGCACACCCTTCCTTAGTATCCCATCGTTCTTGTCACAGCTAAAGAGCCAAATCAGGACCTGTTCAAACTCCAGTAAAACCAACAAAGTTCAGCAGAGCTCCCTACCCTGCTGCTCTGTGTAAGGTCTCTCTGCCTGCTGAAACTACTTCAGACTCCCCATGCCATGGCTAGGAAGGAGGATGGAGGGAGCAGGGGCAGACGCACACCCTTCCTTAGTATCCCATCGTTCTTGTCACAGCTAAAGAGCCAAATCAGGACCTGTTCAAACTCCAGTAAAACCAACAGAGTTAATGTCAGGGATACATTTGGCCCTGTATCTGCAAGGCTGAAATCAAGTACGTTAGGCTTTTATTGCTTATCCTGTTTACAAAAGCTGTTATTCATCTGCCTTCTCCTGCCCAACAAGGTAAAACCAAAACTGCAGTTTCTGTCCCTCCTGCAAAGGCGATCCAGTGGATGGTGTCTGGACTCCATTCCCCATGGCCAGAATTGCCAGTTCTCATCACTTACCCCTGGGCAGACCCACGGAAGAGGATAAAGCTGCACAGTGGCTGCTGAACTCTAGAAATATTAGAGATAACTGTGCAGAAGGACATGGCTGTACAACTCAAAAGCTGAGACAACCTGAAGTTGAGTTTGCAGGACTACCTGCTCCAGCAAACATCTTTTTCCATCTAAACCAGACAGAGCTGATATAAAAAGCCACCAAGACACTGGTGTGTCTTCAACAGTAACCGCAATGTACAGATGGTTCACAGATACATGTATTTTACTAACTGTAGAAGGATATGCTTGACCAGGCTAGACACATTTAGTTGCTCTGACTGGTTGCTGGTGTTTTCTCAGTCATAAAACACAGCAGGAGCCACTAGAGAGCACAGAAAATATTTAAAGTCCTCTTCTCCTATTGATATATGCTGAGGACATAAAGTCTGCAGTACGCATGTTGCAAAGACAGCCTGAAGGGCAATGTCCAGCTGAGCTCTTCCCTGGCTCAACTGCTTCCCTGGGTTTACACCACAGGGAAAGAGGATGTCAGAGCTCTGCCTACAGGAAATAAACTGAGGATCCACCACACGTGATTCGGCTTGGTTTCCTTACTTTATATCCTTTTCCCTCTGACATCAGCTCCTTGTCATCCCCATCACTGTCATCACAGCCTGTGCTGTTTTCCCCATGCTCCTGCTCTCCGTTGCTCATCCTGCTGGGCTCTGAGGAAGGAAGGCTGTCCTGGATGGGAGGCATGGGCTTGGAGGTTGTCAGGAGCCTCTGGGAAGCTGATGTGGAAACTGCTGGCTTCAGGGTAACCCCCTTAGGGTCACTGCAGTCAGTCAGGCCTGCAAAGTGGAGACACAAAGCACAATAGAAGCAGCACTGCAAAACTAAAGCACCTGAAGCTAGAGATTTCATTGGACAGATTTCTTGGAAACTTCTAAATAACTGCACAGGGCAACATGCTCATGCTGGCAGCCACTTGAAGCAGGCCAGTGGACAACACTTACCCACTTCCACAAAGCCACCAGAGGAACACCCTGGTCCTCTGGGCTCCCATCACACAACAGAGAGGCCACGGACCTGTACTTACCCAGAATAAGTCACCTGCACATACATTCTCCTGCTCCTCTCCTTGCCCCACAGTTGTACACCCCTACAGCAACAGGAGGGCTATGCAGGGGACTGAAAGCAGGGAAGGTTATTGCAGGGGGGCACACGCAGGGGAGAACTGTTCACTGGGAATGTGCACTAGCTCTCGCTGGGAAAAGACCCTTCTTCCTGCAGGAGAGCAGGCAGGCTCCCGCCTTACCTTTCTGTGAGGCTAACAGACCCTCAGACATCCTCCCCGTCTTCGGCTTGTCCTCGATCTGAATGGTTTCCAGGGCAGCGCTGCTCACCTCCCTCTCTCGGAGGTCCTGGGTCAAGGCTTGGTGAGAAAGGTGGGAGAGTTCACCTCCACCCGCAGTGCTGAGGTCGTGCACACTAGCCTCGCTGACCCAGCCATCCAGGGGAGAGATGGTCCTTGGGTATCGAGGTTTCCCAACTCCAACCCCATGCCATGAACTGGGATGCTTCTTCATCTGGGTTGTTAATATGGACTGAAAAGAGGCTGTAGATCAGGTAAAAGGCAAGAAGTGAGTTAGTTGACGTCATACCTTTACAATTAACCCATCTAATTAGTGAGGCATTCAAGGGTTTTTTAATCATTCAGAAGATCAGTTTGTTTTTATTTTTCATAAAACTAGCATCAGTTTAATTCTTCTGAACAGCACTGAGCTAGCAAGCCAGGAGAGAGAGGTTGAAGGCCCCACTGGTAAGAGGGGAAAAAAGATTCCCATTTCAGGACTTGGCTTCTGTGAAGACTACCAGTAAAGACCCACACAGTGCTACTGGTATATCTGGAAAGCAGAAAGACATCTCAGCAAGCAGGCAGACCTTGCCAGTGTTTCTACAGCACCATCCCATCCTCAAGGTCAGATCTGATGGGCAAGCAGAGGAAGAACTGGGAATTTAGCTATGGCAAGACCACATATTGATAGCAAGGATAGAAACAGAATTCACATCTCATTACCATGCCCGATTTATGGCCAGTTGGGCCACAGTCCCTGTCCTGGCTGGCAGTGGTAGTGATTTGGCTACTGTTGATAAAGGAGAAAGCATAATGAACTAATGATAGAGAGATGTGATGCCATGCGCACCACTGGAGGAGGACAGGATCATCTGCAGCTCTGTGTCAGCCATCTACTCTGACACAGAGCCAGCACATGAGGACTGACCTCCAAGGACAATTTCTCCTTGAAATCAGGTGGGTTTTTTTCATTTGGCTGAGGCCACCATTTTCCAAGGACAATTTCTCCCTGAAATCAGGTTTTTTTCATTTGGCTGAGGCCACCATTGCATATTCAACCCCCTTCCATCCTCACCTTCGTCTTCAGTGGTCCAGCTGCTGCCACAAAACTGCAAGTTTGAATCAATGCTTCCGCCTCGCAGAGCTGTGTATCTGGGTTTGAATCTGTGAACACTCCCACAGTAGACAGCAACTGGGCTACGGTACTTAGCTTGAAAATAAGTACAAATTCACAGCATGTAATACAGTGACAAAAAACCAGACACCTCCACAGAAGACTAACACACCAGTAGTGACCTGCAGTCCTGGCCTCTGCAACGGTCTGAACTCATGCTGTTCTGCCTGGTGAGGTGCTTGCATTCCAGCACTATGACAGCTGAACGTTCTACAAATTTGCATGTGTTTTGCTAGTTGCCCATCCACGACTACAGGATTCCTTTCCTCCCCTTTCACAGGGTAGGCAACCCACAATGGTATCTAGATTTGACAATGTCTAGTAAGTAGATGCTTTCCAAAGCTAGTTTGAAAGTCCTCTGTTTCTGTAATTCCCACTCAATTTTGGGTTGGATTTTGCTGGGTTTTTATTTCTCTTTACAACAAAGTAAGTATGAGGACACAAACAATTAATCACCAGGTGTTATAACTAAACGAAGGTTTTCACTCTGCATTAGATGTCCCCGATATTCAGTGGGCTTATTTAATTACTGTATCTGTAGGATGAAAATTGTCCATCCAAACATTCTCCTTTGTTCTGCTTCACTGTTACATGGGTTTATTCCCTGCTTTCTTTACTGCAGAGACATCCAAAACCAAGAAAAACATGGCCTGGCTCAAAAAATTTTGGATCTTGGCTGTTCCTGAAAATTCAAAGTTATACACAGCGTGTTTCCCTGCCCCTTATCCTGGCCAATATCTTCCCCACTACCCAGCCTCTAAGGCTGGGCTCTCACTTGTACAGCTGCTGCACTTGCCAGCATCTCCGGAGTCTCGTGATCAGTGCTTTGAATGCAGTTTTTGTACACGCTCTGCCTCCCTGAGCCGAGCAGCATTCCTGGGCACCGGCACTGCTGCTGCAGGTGAACATCCTCCAGGCAAAGGCTGCAGGAATGGGATTGCAACAAGCCTTGGCCGAAGAAATCTCCAGGCTGCTGCAGCCCTTTACCTGCTGCAAAATTATCTTGCGTTGCCATGGCGGGGGGGGAGGCGATGGGGTCTTTGCAGATGAGAGTCTACTCGATATGCTGCTGGTCGCTGGGCCTGATACCGCTGCCAGTGGGTTCCCCTGCAGCATCAGGAGCCTACATGGAAAAATAACACTGCTAGTGCAAGTGACAGTGACCGATCCCTGGCACTGCCCTGCCTGCAGGGGTTCCTGCGTATGAAACTGCTCAAGTCAGGTGGTGTTAAAACAACATAAAAATATATCCAAGTTATGCATTTTCCACATTCTGTCAAAATCATGGCCATAAAGTCCAAATGCTGGAGGAAGACTGCTGTCGGCACAATGGGGGAAACATAACTCCACCCCAGCAGCTGCTCTCCCCATGGCTGTATGAGCATGGCAGCAGAGGCAAGTCTCTCACTGCACCCACTACTGTTGGACCCAATGCAGCGCGTTGGAGTTGTTCCCACAGAGCTCAGCACTGCTGCTGCAGCAGGAGCATCATTTCACACAGGTGATAACAAAGAGCTGTAAAGCCACACTGGACTTGCCCCAAGAACAACCGAAAAAATAGGAGGTTCCTTAAATGTATTAGCCCATTTCTTATGGCCTAAGTGAGAGGTAAGAGGAGATTTTGCAGAGCATACCTTAGGATAAGAGGTCAGGATGGTAAGCCAGCAGTAAAATTCCTATAAATGTCAGTAAGTACAGAAGGATGCCAATGTGAACTGCTTTTGAAAATCCACTCATAGGTGCCTCTAAAGCTCTGCAAACGGAACGACTATCACATGGTAGCTAAGTGCAGCCAGAAGGATCAATCACAGACACAGTTCACTCAGTTAAATTATTACAGAAGGAAAAATGCCTCTGCACTCGATGGAAGAAGCAAAGGCAGGTCCCTATTAATGTGTTCTGTAAGCTTAAAACAAATAACAAAGAATGCCTGTACAAGGACTTTAGGTACCCTACTATCAATCAAACTTACAATCAGATAAAATGGTATCCTCAAGCAAATTTCAATAGAAATTGTTCATATCGCAGCAAGGCCATGTACTGCTCCACCCCCTGCCCAAGAGATTTAACTCTGCTCAAAAGCTGTCATCTGGAGTAAAGCAAGTGATTTCAGAAAGGCTGGAGTTAGCTGAGACAGTTAACCCACTTCTGGCTTTCACCCTTTTTGTTAGTCTAGGTGAATTCACAGAGACAACTTCAGGTCAAGGAATGAAGGTGCTTAGAGGGTTTTTAGAGCCTAATTCCCATTACTTTCAATGAAAGGCAGGCACTAAATACCCTTAAAAATACAAATGTAGGTCTATTTGGACTGTGTACTTTAAAACAAGGAATGGAGGTATCATTGTGAGTGGGACTGGGGCATAAAGCAGGGTACAAGGTATATTTTCTTTAGTCTCATTGCATAGGATGAATATCTAAAAAATACACCAGTGGCAATTTTGGCTGGTTAAGATCACTTCCTAAATGAAGCTGAGCATGCCCCATTGCTTAAGGTATTAAAAATATCCAAGAGAAAGCAGTAAGTACCAGAAATGAGTGTATCCTGTAGCTAGAATAGAAGGCTGCCTCTGCCACTGACTTACCCAGTAACACAAAGCCAGGCTTTCCATGCCTCAAGTTTGTTCCTCTGCCAGGCTGTCCTACCTAAATGCTAGCACGCTATAAAGTAAAATTAGGAAGGGCATTACTTATAGCACCTCCATGGCCCCCAAAGCCTTCATTGCCTAAATTCAGGGCACAGTTCCTAATTCAGGCCAGCTACACGATACGGAAAACCCCAAATGTACAGCTATGTAGGGCCACCCCTTTCTCCCTTGCACTGAAACCACTGTAACTGGAATGATAATGGCAGAGCAATTTGCCTGCAGCCTGGGGAAAGTGCGGGGTGTGCAGGATTCATCTTCTGCCACTGCTGATAGGAGCATGGAAAACAAGCTGGTGCCATTCTCTGTACAGAGAACAGTAGCAGTGGTTCACTGCTGAGTGAAAAAAAGTGTTAGAAAATGGCTTTCTGAAGAGGAAAAAATGGAACACAGCTGCATTTGAACAGCTCCAGGCCCTGGTGATGTTTCAGTAGACAGTAACTGGTACTCCTTGTCATCCTTCTGCTGGGTTAATCAAAAGGAAATGCATCCTCTGGGATTTTCAGCTTCCTTGGATCATTAGCACCCAGTAAATGAAAACAGAGATTATTTAATGCTATCATTACTTTCTTTCCCAACTAACAAGCTATTTCTCTGGTGGCTTCCCAGCACAGCAAACATACAGTATCGTTATGTGAAACATGCCGATGCCAACAACCCTACAGAGCCCGTCAGGATTGGAGCCGCTGTGGAGGTTGAACCCAATAGCTCACCAGCCAGAGGCTTGTTGTGAGGATAAAATGAAATTGGAGTGATGACAGCTGTTTGGGTTTTTTTTGGCCGGTGGATTTCAGCTTACAGGGCCATAATGCATCTGTAGCATGAAGTTTTTATGTAGAGTAAAAAGCCATCACCCAGTGGAACCGGGCAGTTTCCCCAAGCCTGTGGGAGAATCATGAGGCAGATCCCTGTGCTACTAATTGCATCTCTCCCCACTTTTCTAAGTTCTTGGTGTCAAAGCCACTTAGGTTAGACACACAGCTCACAAGAAGTGCTCCTGTATCTTTCTGCACAACGATCCAAGCGAGTTTACACATCCAAAATCTGTTTTCTATTACTGTTGAACTTACTGTTTTGAGGAATTTCTGAACCAGCAAACTTGCTTCCTCCAATATTTACTGTGCATGGCAAGGAGCACAGACAAAAGATGTAACGTGAAAAGCATCAGCCACATGATGCTCTTTTTACAAGTTCTGCCCTCAGCTTTCATTTGGAAGATCTTAAAAGTTCAATGCCCCTATCAAAAGCTCCTGCAATGGCTGTTTCTCAGCAGAGCAGGGCTGCTCAACCATGAAACAAGAGTTACCGCAAGCAGCAGCTTACCCAGGGCAGCAAATCAAGAGTTAGGAATAAGCTGATCTGAATGCCAAACCTCATTAGCTCCTTCAAAAAGCACTTGAACAATCCCTCATTCCAGCTCTAATGAGGTGTTGTGCTGGACACCACGGTTATTTGAGTACCGTACACAAGTTTGCTCCCACTGAGCACTGTGACGGTCTCCATTGGAGCTGTGGCCAAGGGCGGTTGTTCCCAAAAGGTGGGTGATCGATTGCTCTGTGGGCTCCTGTGACTGCCGGACACAATGAGACGAGAAGGAGCCAAGTACACTGACACACCTTTGCCTTGAGCATAACCCAGCCTCGACCAAAAGTGTTGAAAAGTTTCCCCTCCTGACCGAGGCACTTTGAAGACGACCCTGAAACTGCGAGATCCTGAGCCCATGCACGGGTTTGCAGAGCACCTCATGCAGAGAGATCCTCACCCTGAGGGGCCTCCAGGTACTAATGCTGTATGAACATAAATTAGCTGACAGGAGTAATGCTGCAGGGGCTAACGCTAGAAAAAGCACGCAATATAGAATCATAGAATCATAGAATCATTGAGAGCGCTAGAAAAAGCATGCAATATCAGCTACTGCTTCTCTTCTGAGAGCAGGTCTTCATGGCACATAGGATTTCTGCTATGAAGGACTCTAGGAAAGGCTCTAGATGCTGAACACTCAAGGCTTGGGTACAGAAGCAGTCACAGTTCAGCACCTTGAACTGATATATTCTCAAATTAAGTTCAACCAGTGGCCCATGTCTTGAAATGTTAGGCCAGCTGTCTGTCAGCTCATGTCAGCTTACGTTTCTTGTAAAAGCATTTTCCTTAGAAATATCAGGCTCATCTTCCTCGGTACCTTCCTCTCAGCTGCCTAGGGGAGAGGGGTCTCCCACCCCATACTCCTGTGTGAAGCCATCCCAGAGGGCTACTAAAATATGTTCCCTGGCCAGTAGTTTTCTCCTGGTAGGGCCCTGCATACTGTTCCACACATCTTTCATAAAGGCACAAACCAACTCCAAGCACTCTGACTAGAGCAGGTTTCCACAAACAGCTGCATAAATCCAAGATAACTCCAAGTGAGCATCCTGAGGGCTCTGTGCTGTTCCTGTGTAATCATCAGGCAGGGAAATTCTCAATGATCTGAAGTGATTTCATTCAGCTGCAACATGGGATCCGAGTTTGGTATTGAAATTTTTCATTATGAGTAACAAGCATTGGGAGCACGAGGTGCAGGGCTGACATGCAAAAGCAGGAGCATATTCTCTAACGAGACCAGTTTAATTGTCCATTTTATTACTCTTATATCTATTCCACTAAAGTCCCAGTACTGTTCTTAGTGCTGTATGAACCTTGAAGTACAACATTTCCCACTGCTCAGAATTTATTCCCAGGTCTTTACAGTATTTAAGCACCTCTATCTTGTTCAGGGCCTAAGTTCACCATTGAAGCATCACTGAAATATTTAAAACCTCCAGTCACCTAACCTACAAGGTATCACCTAACTCCACAGGCATTTAAATCTCTAGAGTGCCCAAGTGTCCATGGGCTGATGCGTGCTAAACACAGGGGCTGTCTTGCATTTGACCTGCTGCTCAGAGCCCCACACCGTGGTGCCCAGAGGACCCAATGCAGGATCTTCAGTCAAGGCGGACAAATGCCTATTTTCCAATACCTACCAGCTGGCAACATCTACCTTGGGTGAGCTGGAGGCCACTAAGAGGTAAAGGAGTAAAAGGCTGTCTCTGCAACAAACGTCAATGCTTACAGGGAGGGGAACAAAAAAGAGCTGCCAGATATGAACACACAACACAGTAGAGCTGGCTGACGAAACCTTGCAATGGTTTGGCTCACTGACCTGACAGAAAACACCATGTTTCCCAACTTCCATCACTTCCAACGTCCGAAAATGAACAAAGCCGAAGAACTGGCATGAAAAGTGGAAGACTGCAGAAGCAGGGCTAGCTCTGCTGCCGATTCATTGCCTGGCCTGCAGAGAAATAGAAATATAAATCTTAAGGCCAGAAATATAAATCTTAAGGCCAGAAAAAAG